CATTATGGTGGTTAAAAATGCATCATAACATTTGCCGTCTTAACTGTTTTTATGTATACAGGGATGTTAAATTTACTTAGGTCATTGTGAAACAGGTCTCCTGAACTGAGACCCCCTACCCATTAAACGACAACTCCCCTTTCCCCTGCCCTCAGTCAACACCATTCTACCCTCTATATCTGTGGTTTTGACTACCTTATATAGCTCGTGTAGGTGGAATCATGGACTCTTTGTCTTTTTGTGATGGCTTATTTCATTTACCATAATGTCCTCAAGGTTCATCTGTGTTGTAGCATGTGACAGGATTTCTGTTTTCAGGCTGAATCCATTGTGTGTATATACCACATTCTGTGTACCCGCTCCTCTGTCAGCGGATACTTGGGTTGCCCCCACCTCTGGCTCTTGTGCATGATGTTGCTGTGAGTGCTGTGGATACTAATGAGAATAATGCACATTGATGTGCTGGTTGTGACCCTCTTCTTGCTTCTTTTGGGTATGTACTCAGAAGTGGAATTGCTGGATCATAAGGTAATTCTATTTTTACTTTTAAGGAACTGCCAGCCTGTTTTCCACAGCAGCCGCACCATTTTACATTCCCACCAACAGTACAGGAGGGCTCCAACTTTTCCACACCCTCGCCAACGCTTGTTCCCCGAGTTTTTAATAGTAGCCATCCTAATGGATGTGAGATGATACCTCATCTTGGTTTTAATTTGCATTCCTTGGGATCCCTGGGTGGCACAGTGGTTTGGCGCCTGCCTTTGGCCCAGGGCGTGATCCTGGAGACCCGGGATCGAATCCCACGTCGGGCTCCGGGTGCATGGAGCCTGCTTCTCCCTCTGCCTGTGTCTCTGCCTCTCTCTCTCTCTCTCTGTGACTATCGTAAATAAAAAAATAAAAAATAATAATAATAATTTGCATTCCTTGGATGACGAACATCTTTTCGTATGTTTGCTAGCCATTTGTATACTTTGGGAGAAATATTTGTTCAGGTCCTTTGCCCATTTTTTAGAGTTATTTGATTTTGTTTGTTGTTTTATGAATTCTTCATATATTCTGGATCTTAAACCCTTATCAGATATATGATTTGCAGGCATCATCTCCCATCTCAGCCTTTTGACTCCATTGATTACAGCCTTTGCAGAACACAAGTTGTTTGATGTAGTTCCATTTATCTGTCTTTGTTTCAGTGACTTATCCAAGAAATCATTACCAGATCCAATCTCATGAAGCTTTTCTTCTAAGTTTTCTTCTATGAGTTTTATGGTTTGGCTTCTTACTCTTTCTCTCTCTCACTGAATGATATTCTGTTGTGGGAATGTACCACAGTTTATCTGTTCAGCTGTTGAGAGACATGTTGATTGTTTCCAGTTTTTTGCAACTTTAAAAGTGCCATAAACATTTATATGGGCATAATTTTTTAAAAGATTTTATTTATTTGAGAGAGAGCACACACGCATGCACATAAACAGGAGAGGGACAAGCAGACTCCTCCACTGAGCATGGAACCTGAGGCAGAGCTTAACGTGGTCCTCCACGCAAGGCTTTATCTCAGGACCCTGAGATCATGAGCTGAAGGCAGACGCTTCACCCCGACTGAGCTACCCAGACACCCTGGGCATAAGTTCTTAACTCCTTTGGATGAATACTTAGGAGCATAATTGCTGGGTCATATACTAAGAGCATTTTTGGCTTTGTAAGAAGCTTCCAGATTGTCTTCTAAAATTGCTGTTCCATTTGCATTCCCATCAGCAAATAAGAGTTTGTTACTCCACAATCTTGCCAGCATGTGGTGTTATTATTTTTTTAAAGATTTAGCTATTTTAATAGGTGTGTAGTGGTAATTGTTTTAGTTTTTAATTCCCTGAGATATGGTATTAGAAACCTCTTTTCATGTATTCACTTTTCATCTTGTGCATCTTTTTTGGTAGGGTGTTCATTCAGGTCTTTTGCCCACTTTTAAAATTGGGTTGTTTTCTTATTTTTTGAGTTTGAAGTGTTCTTTGTATATTTGGGATACAAGTCCTTTCTCAGATACGTGCTGTGCAAATATTTTCTCCCAGTCTGTGGCTTGTCTTTTCATTTTCTTAACAGTGTCTCTGTAGACCAGAAGTTTGATTTTAATGAAATTCAGTTTTTTCTTTCATAGGTCATACTTTTAATATATCTAAAACATCATTGCTGGGGTGGCTTAGTGGGTGAGTGTTTGCTTTCAGTTCAGGTTGTGATTTTGGGGTCCTGGGATCGAGTCCTGCATCGGGCTCCCCAGAGGGAGCCTGCTTCTCCCTCTGCCTGTGTCTCTGCCTCTCTCTCTCTCTCTGTGTCTCTCATGAATAAATAAATAAAATCTTTAAAAAATAAAAATAAATAAAAAGTATTTTCCAGGGCTCCCTGGGTGGCTCAGTCAGTTGAGCATCCGACTCTTGATTTCAGCTCAGGTTATGATCTCAAAGCCATCGGATTGAGCCCCATGTTGGGCTCCGTGCTCAGTGGGGAGTCTACTTGAGATTCTTTCTACCTCCTTCTCCCTCTGCCTCTGCTTCTCCCTCACCTTATGTGTGCCCTTTCTTTCTCTCTCTCAAATAAATAAATTTCATTAAATCTTAGAAAGTGAATTAAAAATAAATAAATAAATGAATAGTCATTGCCAAATTCAGGGTAACTGAGATTTTCTCCTGTATTATCTCCTAGAGCTTTTGTAGATTTGTATTTTATGTTTAGGTCTGTGATCCCTTTTAATCAATTTTTGTAAAAGGTGTAAAGGCCTGGGTGGCTCAATGGTTGAGCATCTGCCTTTGACTCAGGGCGTGATCCTGGAGTCCCGGGATCAAGTCTCACATCAGGCTCCCTGCGAGAAGCCTGCTTCTCCCTCCGTCTCTGCCTCTCTATGTCTCTCATGAATGAATAAATAAAATCTTAAAAAAAAAAAAAGAGGGGATCCCTGGGTGGCTCAGCGGTTTAGCGCCTGCCTTCAGCCCAGGGCGTGATCCTGGAGTCCCGGGATCGAGGCCTACATCAGGCTCCCAGCATGGAGCCTGCTTCTCCCTCTGCCTGTGTCTCTGCCTCTCTCTCTCTGTGTCTCTCATGAATAAATAAATAAATAAATCTTTAAAAAAAAAAAGTAAAGTCTGTGTGTAGATTCATCTTTTTGCATGTGGATGTACATGTATTCCAGTACCACTTTTTGAAAAGACTATCTTTTCTCAATTGTGTTGCCTTTATTCCTTTGTCAGGATCAGTTGACTGTATTTATGGGACTCTGTTTCAATTCTCTTCCATCTATTTGTCTGTCCTTACGCCAATACCACACTGTCTTATTGTAGCTTTAGAATGGAGTTGGGCACTGTCTGTCCTCTGACTGGTCTTCCCCTTCAGTATTGTGTTGACCCTTAGGAAGCTCTTGCCTGTTCATATAAACTTAAGAATCAGTTTGTTGATAACCATGATATAACTTGCTGGAATTTTCATTGGGGTTTTGTTGAATCTGTAGATCAGCGTGGGAAGAACTGACATCTTGACAGTATTGAGTATTCCTATCCATGAACATGGAGTATGTCTTATTTATTTAGTCATTTGATTCTTTTCATCAGAGTTCCCATAGATCTTGTGTGTATTTTGTTAGATTTATAGCTAAGAGTTTCAGGTTTTTTGGTGCTGATGTAAATGGTATTGTGTTTTTCATTTCAAATTCCAGTTGTTCATTGCTGGTTCAGTGGGATTTTTTGATTTTTATTTATTTTTCATTGTTTTTCAAAATATGAAAATATGAATCCATGCTGATTGGAACAAAGTGGAACTGTATTAAGATGAAAAAAGGAAAAGCTAATCACCCCCTACCTTCACCCTCCCCAGTACTCAGCATTAATGCACAGCCCATGCTGTTCAAGACCTTTCTCCTTGCTCAGCAGACTTGGAGAAGCTACAGGAATGTGGTCAAATAGGGATCTTTGTTTATTTTTACCACAGCAAAATCACAACATCCATGTTACTCTGCACCTTCCTTGTAACGCTTAACAATTCATCATGGCCAAGACTGTAAGTAGTCAACCAATGCAAATTCTGCCCCTCTCTCCCCAGTTCTTTTTTTTTTTTTTAAGATTTTATTTATTCACAAGAAACACACACACAGAGGCAGAGACACAGAGAGAGAAGCGGGATTTTTTTTTAATTTTTTTTTTATTCATTCATGAGAGACACAGGGAGAAAGGGAGAGACACAGGCAGAGGGAGAAGCAGGCTCCCCACAGAGAACTCGATGTGTGACTCCATCCCCAGACCTTGGGATCACGACCCGAGCCAAAGGCAGAAACTCAACCACTGAGCCACCCAGATGCACCTCTCTCCAGTTCTTTATGCGTGTACATTTGTGCACACACACATTGATTATTCCACAAGAATAAAGTCCTTATTCAAGGTATGGGCATTTTATTTTGACGTTATCTATCTATCTTTTGATCTATTCCCATCTCCACCCTTAGGTGATCTGAGTCAGTAACGTATGCTGAGTGATGGTTAGGATGTGTAAGCTTGCTGTCCTGGTTAGACACCAAGTTCTTTATGTGTAGAAATGACATCATCTTTTGTGCTCCTCTGGGCTGGGCTGAACACAGGGCCAGGCATTTACCAGCTGGCAGCCTAGAGTTTGGTTCTGAGCCTCAGTTTCTCTATCTGTGAAGGGCTCATGGTGATAGCCACTACTTTATAAGGTGGTTGGAGAGATGGGGGGAGATCATGTGTGTAGCAGGCCTGGCACATAGTTGGTGTTTAAGAAATGTGAACACCTGTCACCAAGTTCTCTGTTATGGGTGACTGGGGCAGGAAAGGAGGCCTGCCCCCTGCTGTGAGAAGGAACCAGGCTGGGGAGGGGTTCCCTGGTGTGTGATGCCAGCCCTGTGTACTAGGAGGCGGGGCCATCAGAGCCTACGGGTGGAGGAGACAAGCTGACCCCTAAGGATCCTGCCTGACCTAAGTGTACTCTGTTTACTCCTCTCTCCTTTTTAGGACAAGCAGCTACGGATCTTTGACCCCAGAGCCAAGCCAGGGGCCTCCCAGGTGAGTTGTGTGGGCAGGGGCCCGAATTGAGGCCCAAATGGCTCCAGCAGGTGCAGGTGAGGGCAGGTTCCACCTCTTGGCAGAGATTCTGCTACACCCTATGTCCCTGGCCAAGACTGAGTAGGTGTGTAGGGTCACCTGGGAGTGGGCTTCTGCTGCTCCAGAAAGATTCTGGGAAACATGTTTTGGGTCCTGGGAGGACCTGTCTTTGATCACAGGGTAGAGTGCAGACAGGCTGTCCACAGACTTTCAGTGGAGGCATCCTGTGGCTTTTGGAAGCTAATTCAAGATTCCACCTTCTGCTCCTTCTTTGAGACCCTCATCCCTCTACCCTTCCTGGCACAGTTGGCAGAGGCCAGCCTCAGAGGAGCCAGAAGAACAGAGCCACCAACCCTGTACCTTTCCTGTCTCAAAGCCAGAGTGCCCCTCATTCTGTACCTGGGGTCTGTGGGATGCAGGCACTGAGCCTGTTTGGTTTGGGTCTCTGATGGTGCTTGGGATGTATGGGGCCTTCTGAGTGCTGAGTGGGTGGTGGGTTCTGGGTTCATGCTGTAGTCACTGAGCCAGTGGGGACTCATTCATTCGCTTGACAGCAAGTAACAGGCATATGGTGAAGGGCCTATCATCCGGGCTATGAGAGGCCAATTAGAGAGTTTTAAGCAGAAAGTGAGATGAGCAGATTGACATTTAATTTTTTTTTTCTAGAAGGTGAGGAGGCTTATTTCCTGAGGAAGGTAAAGATCAGAGTCCTGCTGCCAGTTCAGGGAAAGAGCTCTCCAATGAAATTCAGGCCCATCACAGATATCCCGTCTCCATCTCTAGGGCTTGTTCCCTACCTGGGGTCAGGGTAATTCACCAGCCTAAATGTGATCAGCAGTAGCTGTGTGGATGTGGGGGGGCTTCCCCACATACTTGTAGCATGCACATGTGTACACGTACACACAGGATCCCCTTCATGGAGGCCACAGCAGTTTTTTGCCCAAGATAGACCAGTCACTTCTGTTTCTGACTGGCTGAAGACCCAAAGGAGGTCTTGTACTGACAGGTGAACCAAGCCAGATAGGAGGTTTTAGCCCACCCCCCATTCCACAGTGGCCATACTTCCCCAGGAGGTTGGCTTTTGGTCCCAGTTGGCTCTGTGGCTGGCAGTGGTAGCTGTCTGAGTCTCAGAGCAAGGTGGGTATGAGCAGTGAGCCTCCCTGGAGCTTTCTATGATTGACCTCCAAGCCTCTGCCCGGAAAGGAGGTCCCAGGTTGAAGGAGGGAGGCTGAGGCCGTCTACCTCCAGCTTCCTCAGGGTCCCAGGGCACTGTGCATGGTACCCCCATTCTTGCCTCCACTGGGCACTGTGTGGGGCCGGCTCCCCTGGCGTGAACATTTTCTTCCTTCCTTGCCTCCTCCTTCTTCGGCAGGCAGGGGGTGGGGGGGATCGTGATGGTGCCGAGGTGGAGACAGAGTGGCTGCAGTCCAAACTGTTCCAAGTTCCTAGAAGGGAGGGAGGATTTGGTTCTGGAGGGAGCCCCCCTGAATGAGGCTTCTGGGCCAAGGAGACCTGGGAAGAGCGTGGGTGGTTCCTACCCCCTCCCAGCTGCTGGGATGGTGCCTGTGCTCTGCGCTGGTGCACTGGTGCGGGGGCAGCAGGGGCTGGAATGCTGCCCTCCTCGTGGCCCTGCCCCCCACTTCCGCCCAGGGCATCTGGCCCACACCTGGCTTCTATTAGGAAAACCACTGCTGGCGGCCAGGATCGGTGTGAGCTGAGGGGCCAGCTCGGGGGAGAGGCCTTCTGGGAGTGCCTTCTTTTGAGATCCTCCTTCCACACTAGAGGGGGACGTTGTTGGAGGGGGGCCGTTGGAGGGGGGCCGGAGGGGCTGCATGCACTCCCTGTCCCAGGGGCTGTCGCTAGAGCTTGGAAGCTGGGTGGAGGGCAGGGGGGCCCTGGGGAATCCTCCTTCTGCTGTCTTTCTTGGACCCTGCTCGACCTGAGTTTGAGTCACATCTATTTTGTTTCTAGATTGCATTTATGACCATTTATTATGTCCTGAGCCCTTGGCACACACAGTCTTTTTCCATCCTCATGATTTTCCTGTAAAGTTGGCCCTTTGGTCATTCTGTCCCAGGGTCACAGCAGAGTGGCCCAGGCAGGCTCTGTGTGTTTGACTCCGAAGCCCCTTTGCCATCTGGGTGGGGTTAGCCAATGCCTGAAGCCATGGGTGCACCAGGGAAGTAGCAGCCTGCTGCTGCGGGGCATCCAGGGAGTGGTGAGGCTTCAGCACCGTCCTCCGTCCTCCTGGGCAGGAGGGGCCTGGGAGGAGCCCTCTGAGCTCTGGTGTGGGCTGGGAGACCTGTGTACTGGGTGTGTGTCAAGCAGGCCTGGGGGGCTGGCATCGGGAGCCCAGGACTGAGCCTGGCCGAGGGGACCAGTGGGTGGTGGGGGTCTTACACCAGAGAAGGTCCCCTCACCTGAGGAAGGAGCCCAGGAGCCCAGGGCTGCGCCTCTTGCCACCCTACCCTGTACAGGAAGCGTTGCCGTGGCAACAGGGGGGATTTGGCAGGACCACAGCTGGAATGCTGGGTATGTGCCTGCTGCTGGTGCCCCTGAGCTGGGCAGCCAGCCCCTCCTGTTCTCTCCTTGGGGCCAGGTGTGGGGGAAACCTGAGGGAGCCAAGGGCCTTGTCCATGAGCAGAGTGCCCTACTGCCTATTGGGACAGAGGCCACCCCTATGAGAGGGAAAGCCCAAGGCCTGGCCTGCAGGCTGGGGATGACCACCAGCGGTTTCCCCTTGAGCCTCCTGTGACAGTGTGGGACTTCAGGGTGGCCAGCTGCCTGAGTTCCAGCTGAACCTCCCCTCTGCTCTGGAGAATGAGAATTTGGGGATCTGGAGAGGGGACTCCTCCTCCCTAAGTCCCAGTAAGGTCAGGGAAGAAGAATTTGCCAGGTTTGAAAATGAAAATCAGTCTAGGGATCGGGGACAGAGGCAGGGGTGGGGTCGGTGCCCCCCCCGGGGGGGGGGCTTCCTGTGGCCCCCGGACGCCTAAGCCCACAGTGGGCATGCAGGCCTGGCGTAAGCTCCTACCTCATCCCAGCGACCTTGGTGCCTTCGGTGTCCTGAGAGACCAGTGCCCTGCCATCACCACCCTGTGGACAGCCTGGGTCCCCTGGTGTGAGCTCATCCAGGGACGGTTCTGGGGGTGCAGCTGGGACCTGGGACCCCTCTTGGTCCCGACTCTGCTGCCTTCTGCCCACTGCTCTGTCTCCTCATCTCCCAGGCCCCTCTCACACAGACAGAATAGTCACCCAGCCCACAGGGAGGAGGCTCAGGGAGCCGACAGCTGTCTTGCTGGGTGACTTGAGGCCGGTGGCTGCTTCTGCCTGAGCCTCTGGTTTCTCTATGAAATAGGAAGATGGGGGGCACCTGGGGGGCCCAGTGGCTGAGCATCTGCCTTTGGCCCAGGGCTTGATCCTGGAGTCCGGGATCGAGTCCCATGTCAGGCTCCCTGCATGGAGCCTGCTTCTCCCTCTGCCTGTGTCTCTGCCTCTCTCTCTGTGTCTCTCATAAATAAATAAAACCTTTTTAAAAAAAAGAAGAGAAGAAGGAAAATGGGAGACAGGCCAATCCTGTCCCCCGCCTATGCCCTCCATCACAGCGCATGCACCCTGCAGGCTCAGGACGTCTCCTCTCCCTCACCCCCTGCCCCCTGCCACTGTGCCAGCCTCTGCTCTCCCAGGCCCCTACTCTGCACAGGCTCACACCTGCTGATCCTTCCTACCTTAGCTCAAGTCTCAAGTGTTACCAAAAATCTACTTCCCTCTATTATACTTTTATTGTACTCCATTGTCATGCTTTTTAAGAAAATGTATATTGGGTATTGAGCACTCACTGGTGTTAACACTTCCCACAAGAGTCCTGCGAAGTAGGACCCATTACAGTGTTCTTTCTGCCAGTGAGGGAACAGGGTCGGTGGTATGGGTATAGGTGTAGGTATTCGTGCTGAGATGAGGCAGTTCATGGGAGGACAGGTGTCACCCACACTCCAGAGATTGTGCCTTTAACCTCCACTTTGCTCCTTCCTTGCACTTAAAATAACGTGCAGTGACATAGTTATTTCTGTTTGGTTCAGCTCTGTCTCCTAACTTGTACATTCAGTGAGTTGGGGGACCCTTTCTGTTTCCACCATGTCCCCAGTGCCTAGTGGAATATGCAGCTCAAACATTCATATTATGAAAGAGCAAATGAATGAGCAGCCCTGCTTCACCGAACTCTGTTAACATCCCCTGGAGAACCATCTGAGAACCCTCTGGCCGCACCGCCAGCTCCTAGCAGGGTGCTTGGCCTGGGGAAGCTTCACATGTCTGCTGAATGAATGAGTGATGCCCAATGCCCTGCCAGCCATCTGGTTTGCTGCAGACACGGGATATTTGCACACCAGTGTGAGGGAAGGTGCATGTGACACTTACCACTGACCCCGGGGTGTCAGGGCAAGGCTGACCTGGCCCTGGCCCCACAGCCCCTTGTGTGTGGAGAGGGGTGTGGGGTGCTGGTTCTCAGGCTCCAGCCCTTACTTCCTGTGCCGGCTGCTGAGTGAGGAAGGGAGCAGTGAGAAAAGCCCCTTGAACAACATGGGTCATTCCAGGGTCTCCCACGCTGGGGTCCTCCTCTGCAGGCTGAGGAGGGGGCGCTGGGCCAGCTCCTCCCAGGCTACCTCCCTCATTCATTCCCAAGGAGATCGTGGGAAGCTTGGAGGAAGCTGGCCACAGTTTGGGGTGAGCTATTTTTGGTAACAGGGTCTTTGGTCTCAGGCTCCAGGGGCCGAGGTGACTGGGAGGGAGCTGTTTGCATTTCCTCTGGCCCCCTCTGCTCCCCCCTGCCTGGGCCCTGGGGACAAGGCTGCCTGTGGTATGAACTTGCCTCTACTCCCTGGGCCCAGGAAGCCTTCCTGCTGGCCAAGCTCCAGCACTGCAGGAAGGCGAGGAGGGACACTTATCTGCCCTCTCTGGGGACTGTTCCCTAGAGCTTGGCACCAGGCCCTCTCCCCAGGCCCTGGCAGTCAGGAAGCATCTGTGATGCTGGTAATCCGTTGATCTGCAGTAGGCTGGTCCCTCTCACGTGTAGTGGTCCTTGGAAAGCCCTGGAAACGTGAGCCCCACTTGGAAGTGAGAAAAATGAGGGTCTCAGAGAGCATGGGGATTCCCCAGAGGCTGGAGATAGCTGCTGGCTGCTGAGCGTCTCCTCTAGGATACCGGCAAGGACAAGCATGTGCTGCTGTTCTGAGCCCCAATGCTGTAGCAGGGCAGCCGGACAGTCCCTTTTGGAGGAGGGAGACAGCCCAAGCTTGATGACCAGGTCAGCCCTCTGGGTGCAGAGCTGTCCTCAGCCAAGGTGAGGCTGGGGTCCATCCTGTAGGGTAGGAGGCCTCTTCTGTCCCCAGCTAGCCTCTGGAGGTCCCCATCCTGGCCCCTCCTGCCCTCTGGGGGGCTCTCAGGCAGGTGGCCCACCCCAGGAGGACCCAGTGGCTCAGTGCCATCTTTTGTCTCCTCTAGAGCACAGAGGCCCACAAGAATGGCAAGGATGGCCGGCTGGCGTGGACGGGAATCCAGGAGCACCTTGTGTCCACTGGATTCAACCAGGTAGGGCTCTTCCCAGATGGGTAGGGCACCCATACCAAAAGGGTAGGGATGAGGCCCACTGGGAGGTGGGGAAGGCCAGCCAGCTCTCGGCCTGTCCATATACGGCCCTGTGTTCAGCTGGGCCTCAGAGCCCCAGGGGACCTCCAGCTGCTGAAAACTGGCAGATTCCATTTGCAATAGCTAACCCTGACCCTGGGAACTGTGGTGGCCAACGCCCCCCCCCCCCCCAACCAGAGTCCATGGAGGGAACCGCCCCTTGTCCCTTGTCACCTAGGGGTTCTTAAAGGGGCAGGACAAGAAAACCCAAATTCTCCCTTCCTAGCATGACTCACCTCTACCCCTCCCAGCTCTGCTTTGGGGCAAGTGCCCTTAAACCAGGCTGTGTCCTCAGGCACTGGGTTTCCAGGGAGTCCAGGGGGCTGAGGGATGGCCCCCTCTGAGCCCCTTTTTGCTCCCTCCCTGCAGATGCGTGAGCGTGAAGTGAAGGTCTGGGACACCCGGCACTTCTCCAGCGCCCTTGCCTCCCTCACCCTGGACACCTCACCTGGGTAGGAGCAGCTGGCATGTTGGGATGGGTTGGTGGAGAGGGTCAAGGGCTTAGATGATGTTTTGAGTCTATAATGGACACTCTTGGTGAGGGCCTCTGATGTGCTGTGGCAGGGCCACCTGTGGAATGAAGGGCCCAGTCCACACAGAAGAGCCTCATCTGGCTCAGAGCTTGTCAGGGAGAGGCTGATCACCAAAGTGGTCAGGGGTGCTCAAGCTGGTCTCTGAGGCTTTGCAAAAGAAACCTGGTCCTGGCCCTACAGGAACCTCCATGGAGCTTTATCAGCAGAGGGTGGTGAGGCAGCTCTCCATGAGTGGATGAGCCCACTGACCCCATCCCACACGGTCCCTAACAACAGTGGGCCCTTGGTCATGAAGGTTTTCAGCCTAAGGGCTCACCTTGGTGTGTTTTGGCATTTGGGGGAGAGACTGACCCAGCAGAGGCATGGGCAGGAAACGTGTGAATGTACTTGATTTTGCTGTGGCCATTTTGGTGGTGCTGGGGGTCAAAGAGACCGAAGCTTTGGTAGATAACAGGATGGGTATGGATGACACAGGGTGGGGTGATGTGGGGACAGACAGGCTGGCAGGCTCGGAGGCAGGCCTTGGCATCACAGGCTCTATGAAACCTCCTCAGACCCAGCCACACTCCTGTCTCTGGTGGTTTGGGATGGGGTGGGGGTGGTTGTGCCCCATCAGCTGGGGACTATAGGTACACCTCATCTTTCCATCCATATGGGAGGGTTTGTGGTTGTGCCGTGGGGACTCACTAAGCCGGCTCTATGAAGGGGCCCTGGGCTTACTGTGGCTTAGGCACCAGAGGCTCTCAGCAATGATTCCCATATCACAGCTGAGCAAACAGGTGCAGGTGAGTGGGGGACCAGCCTGGCTGGGGTATGAGGAGGTGGGGGCCTGTTTCCCTTTCAGAAGCCTCAGCCCTGCTCAGTGATGAGTCTTGGAGCAGCTTACTCGGACCTCCACATGATCCCCGGGCAGGGATCTGTGAAGGTCAGAGCTAGGAGAGGGCCTTGGTCCTTGGCTATCCATCAAGCCCCTTCCTCTTCCATTTCATGACTGGGGAAAGTGAGTCACAGAAGTATGACTTCTTGTCACAGAAGTGTGACTTCAGTCACAGTGACCTGTCCAAGCTCTGGGAGTAGCATAGACCATGCTTGGGGGTGGGGAAGTCTGACTGCCATAAGAACTCTTGCCAGAGCATGCCTCAGCTGAGAGCTCCCAGAGAAGGGGTAACAGTGTCAGTGAACCTCTGCTCCCATCCCCTCTTACAACCTAGAGAGAGGCTAGGGAGCTGGGGAGGCCCATTTTGCAGATGAGGATGGCAAAGCTGAATGAGATCTAGTGCGTCTGCTTACTCTGGGCCCTGGGGATTAGGAGGGGGGCACTCCCTGGGACCCCCTTTGCTGGAAGAGTAAGAGCTCCTAGGCCTGATGCTGCATTGGTACCTCCCCAGGCCAGACAACTCCTTCCCTACAGGGCTCCCTAGCAGAAGGAGGCAGCTGGCCCAGCCTGGAAAGGGGACCCAGGGCTAGCCATCCATTGCTCCTCCACCCACTACTTCCTGTCTTCCAGGCTCCACCCCTGACCCCTGATGGGTCCCCCCCCCCCCCCCCGCAGAGCAGCCCCTGCCCGTCCCCAGCTTGGCCCCTGGAGGAGTTAAGGATGCCCAGACCCCACGGTGCCACTGGCCAAGGCTGACCCTGTAATTACAGCAGTTAAGAATAGCTTCGCAGGGCTAGCAGGGCCTGGAATTTCTCAAATCACTCCCAGATGGGTGGCCAGACCAGTGTCCCGCCCCTCCATCCTCCAGTCCTGGCCCCTGCCCTGCCAGGCCACGCCCTTGGCAGAGGAGTGGGGACTCTCCAGCCCTCTGTAAAACTGGTGGACCTAGGGAATGGCGGTGGATCCCCTGTCTGCTGAGGCTCCCTGGGGTGTCAGTCCAGCTGAGTGGACCAGAGATGAGAAGTGTAGAGGGTGTTGAATGTGGGGACAGCTGTGGGTTTCCACTGTGTTCCCTCAGTTTCTCCATTATTTTATGGATTTTCCATCTCAATTTGAGCAAAACAGCGAGTGTTCTTTTAAAGCTAGAGGGGGCCAGGGGTCAGGCACAGGTCTCTCTCCCTGTCATCTCCCATAGAGAACCTAGGGCCCCACCCTCTCAAAGGCTTCTGTCACAGCTTCCACCTGTGTCCTCCCACCTTCTCATCCTCATCATTTGTGGGGTGCTCCTCACTAAGAAGAGACATGCCGTGGTTGGAGGAACAGGGCATCAGGGGCCTATCTGTAAACCCAGGCTCAGGCAGCAGGTCCAGCAGGTGTGCCAGGTGCTATACTCTGTACAAGGTGGAGGTGGGAGGGTAAGTGGTAGGGCCTGGCACTGAAGGACCAGCTCACGTTCTAGACAAGGAGGTGCACAAACACTCTCTCGGTGCGATGCTTCTGGGTGGGTAAATGATCAGCTGTACCTGTCGTAGAGGCCACGGGCAGCTGGGGACGTATCTCCTCTGGCAGCTGAGGCCAGAGAAGTTGATTGTCTGTGGAGGTCACCCCAGCAGCCAGTCCATGGAAGATAGAGGCTGGGGTTTGATCTCCACTGCTTCACACCAGGGAGCTTCTGCCCCTCACAGCGGCCCTGCTGTCTCCTGGAGGCCCACATGGCTAGCAACCCTGTGCTGGGCCAGGGAGCGTGTGTTGACATCCTGTCCCTGCCTGCCTTGAGCTAGCTGCTGGCTCACCTCTCCTAGTAAGTGCTTGTCTTCTGTAGAGTGTTGGCTGGGCACTGACGGGAGCATGTATAGCCTGTGTGGATGGCACAAGGCCTGTGGCAGCAAGGTCCCAACAATCAGACTGGCATCTCCCCACATCCATCCCTGGACCCTGCCCTGGAACCATTGAGATTGCTCTGGGTAAGGGTTGCATCTTGGCCTGGTCTCCCACTCTGCCCCTGGGCCTCCCTTCACCACCCCTGTCCCTCTGGGGTGTCTGATGGGATATCCTGAATACCTTTTCTGGGAGGGCTGGAGTGAGTGTTTAGCCCCCTGTCTTTGGGTCCCGCCTCCCCACCCCACCCCCTGCCATCCCACTAAGCCAGGTTTGGCTTTGCAGTGAAAACATTTATTCAGCAGCCACGCTGTGTTCAGCAGCAGCCCACAGGCCCACAATGGCTCCTTTGATAGGGCTGCCGAGGGGGAGGGCAGGCCTCACCATAGCTGCTCCCTTAATGGGACCCAGGCTCACAGGAAATCCACCTGGGCCGCCGCTGCCTCAGGAAGAAGGGGCCCCACCCACGCTCGCTGCCACCATCCTCTGCCTGCCATGACCCACCGCCCACCTCCTCCCTTCCCATGCCAGAACCCTCAGCAGCCGCTAATTGAATCCAGAGCCTCGCGTGGCTGGGCCTGACTCGGCGCTGACATCAACGCCCTGAGCCACAGGGCCTGCTCCCCAGGCCTGGCTGGGCTGCCTGCTTCCATCCAGGGTGAGGCTGGGAGGGGGCCCGGGGGCTATGACCTGTAGAAGGGACACGGGCATAGGGCCTTGGGGAGGCTGGCTCAGTGCTTGCAGCACCTCTCTGCAGCCCCAGGGCCCACTTTGCCTCCCGTCTCAGGGTCATGGGAGAAGGTGCTGTGAATCCATCCTTGTTCCCCAGCTCCCAGCACCCAGTCCAGGCCAGAGCTCCACTCTGCATCCCTGGCCCTGCCCCCACACAGCCTGTGGCCTTCCTGGAAAACACTCCCACTTCCGGGGTTTCTGGAAAGCCTGGGCACATCCCAAGTACAGAGAGTAAAAGGGTATCACAGAGCCATCAGGCCTTCACAAACCAGGCTCAGACCTTTGGTCCTGTCCCTGGGGCACCTGCCCCTAACAGCCCCAGTGTGGCCCATCCTCCCCATTCACCAGATGGTTCCTGTCATTCAGGATCTGTGTTGCCCCTAACCAAGACCTCTCTGTGCAGCTGGAGCAGGTGGCCAGGAGCAGGGTTTCCCAACCTGAGCCCATGCAGAAGGGCATCGGGACTGTGGGGAGGGCTGGGCTGTTTGCTCTGCCTGGCCCAGGACCAACTGTGGGGGCTGCAAAACACAGCTCTAGGGACCCCCTCCACAGAGGAAGGTAAAGGAGGGCACCCTGGGTACCCTCTTGGCCTTTATCTACCTGAACCTTCCCCAGCTTCACAGGAGCACTACCGTTCTTGCTGGCAGACCACTGGGCCTGGGTGGGGTGAGGCTGGGCAGACAGTGCCCAGGGCAGGGTACCTGGAAGGGCCACCCTTCCTGGCATGGTCCTTAGCAGCAGCCCTCCCAAGCCCAAGGATTGCTGACCAGGACCTGGTGCCCATCGGGGAGGGTGTTCCTAGTCCCCACAAAGAGACCTATCTCTTTATGCCCGTCCTGCACCACCCAGCCCAGGTACCCTGGGCCACACCAGAGAAACACACACATTTTATCTTTTATTTTTCTTACAAAAGGCCTTCATATCATTGTTTGTCTTACAAAAACCAAAGTCCTTGTCTCTGAGTTTGAAAAACATTTTCCCAGAATAAATGGGAAAGAATCTCTTATAAATATATTTTTAAAAACCAAAGCAAAACATGTTCCTAAAGCGTCTGTCTTTCCAGTTTCTTTTGTTCCTTTGCTCCTTGGGGCCGGGGCTGACCTACATGCCCCATCCCCAGTCCCACTCTCCCTCTGCCGTCTTTCTGGGGGCTTCCTTCACTGGCCCCCAGAGTCTCCTTGGGATGGGGGCCTGGCAGCCCTGGGCCTGTGTTACCAGCACACGGCAGGGCCCGCCCCACCCTTCCCCGGGGGCTGTACTCGGCAGAGGACAGGGCAGACGCCATCCTCGTAGGCACTCAGGCTCGGGGCACCTTAGAGGTGGCCACCTGGGTCCTAGGATCTCATAGATGAGGAAATGGAGGGGTGGGGTCTTGCTGTGGTCACACAGCCCCCACCCTGATGTGTCCTCTTTGTAGGGATCTGAGAACTTC